CAGTTCAGCAGCTTCTGCTGCCTCACCGCGGTGCTCTTCAGCAGGTCCTCATCCTGCGAGAGGCGACGCCGACGCCCCGAGCGCCTTGGGAACCCGGCCACTCGGCCTTGGTGGTGAGAGGGGGGGAGGCGAGGGGTGGCTTTTGAGGGTTTTCATTTCCCCGGTTTAACGGGTGGTTGAATGGGAGAGCAAAGGTCAACCCCTTTTGGGGGCACCCCAGGCGTTTCTCCCTTGTGTCTTTTTTTGGAGGGGGGAATCTGGGATGGGTTTAGGGTAGGGCCGCCGAAGTGGTTGGAGCTTCAAATAGGCTCGGGCCGTTCGCAAACACTGCGAGTCAATCAAAAATCACTTTCGTGGCTTCCCGATTTTGAGACCCCATGTAAAGACATCTTCTACAAAGTATGTTTGGAAGGATTTGACGATGGTGCCAGTGGACCCGTCAAACTCCAAGAGTCACAAGCAGTTATCCTTGTCCAAGTGCCAGTTGCCAACGCTTCGGACATTGTCCGGTGCTCCATGGAGAAGAATGCAGAACGAGGCGTGACACCTATGGAATATGCTCTGGTCGCGGTCAAACCTCTGATTTCATGCTTCCTTTCTTGTTCTATCAACTCTCATTGCAATGTTTACTTCGTCTACCCTCTCACAGACAAACAAGGTGCACGGGCTCCCCATCCAAGAGGAAACACGGGCTCCGCTGTGCACCAACAAAAATGTTTTGGATCTTTGGCGCTTGCATCCCCTTCTTTCTTTCCCAGGCCTGCAGGTAGGAGATGGTAAGCTCACCTCCTTTCTCCAAAGCCATCCTGAGTGCCCGTTGACCACTGGCTGGCAACATAACCATCCAAAACCTATCCGATGTTCAGCCCAAAACCCTCACTTAACCACTGAAAGCGACTAAGGCCGCTCCTAAACCAGCTGAACAAACCAACCAACCAACCAACCAACCAGCCAGCCAGCCAGCCAGCCAACCAAACAGATCTGGGCAAAACCAGAACCAAAACGAAACAAGACATCCACCCCAGTGATTATCAAAAGGGCAGTGCCTCGAGAGACTTGCGCACCTTACCCCCCCGCTTCGATGGCATCCGTTGGCTCAAGTCCGGCTTCTTCGCTCAGCTGGGGATCCTACTCGGCTTCTTGGCTCTAATATCCATGGCCAGTAGATACCACCAAGACCCCCTTGATCTATCTGCTCCTGCTCCTTCGTTCAATATGACCCCTCACAGGCAGGAATGAAAATCTCAAGTAGCCCCATATTGGAGGTCAAAACTACTGCCGAAAAAAGAGAGTATGTTCTATATATCCTGGCACCTCACCTTTTGTGCGCGATCAGGCTCTTTGGCTTCCCATTAGGGACTGTTCGTATTGGGATCCCCAAATGTCCATGGCTTCGTTTGCCCTAGCAACCTCCAATCGCCGACTCGCGAAAGGCTTGCGCAACCTAGGACTCGGGCCGGCTCCGCAGGACGAAGGCATCTTCATCTCCGTAGGACCAACCTTCCAAACAGGCACCCCATTCTTATGAAAACGCTTGCTGGTTCTCAGTAAAATGACGCAACCGAATTGAACCATCCACAAAGGTTTGCAGGTCTCTAGGTTCATTCCAGCAAGGAAGAACAGCAAGGAAGAACCAGCAGGGAAGAACATCGCACCTGCAAAGTAGTGATCTTCAGCGACCGCAACCCACATGTCTCCCCAACGGGACAGAGGCTGAACCTACGAGGGGTTGCTCCTTGTCTAAAAGGAAAAATATGCATAGACATCATAGACCCCAGATATCGAAGGACAGGCCGAAGATTGCACACTAGCAGAAAACTGCATCGGCACCAGTCCCCGCCCACCCTGCCGTCAATCTCGCAAAACTGTGCCCGCACCGTCACCTCAAACACCCCCCCCCCCCCAGAAAAACAAAAAGGCCATCAATCTCGCAAAAATGCGCACCTCAAACAGCCCCAAACAGATTCCTCAAACAGCACCTGCGCCAGCACCCCAAACTGCACTCCCCCTAGCACCGTACCGTCAACCGTCAATCTTGCAAAAATGCGACCAGGCCGTCAACCTTGCAACACTGCACCCGCACCACCAGTATCACCTCAAACAGCACCAGAACCCAAACTGCATGCCCAAAATGCACCTGCGCTGTCAGAAGCACCTCAAACACAGCACCCCAAAACAGGCACCTGCACGAGCGCCCCAAACCGCATGCCCCCCGCCACCCTGCCGTCAATCTTGCAAAAACGCGCCCACTCCGTCACCCAGCACCTTGCACCAGCTCCAAAACTGCATTCCTCTTAGGTAAAGTCTAACAAAAATGCGCCCGCACCTGAAACAGCACCCTAAACCGCACCCCCCAAAACACCTGCGCCAGCACCCCAAACTGCATGCCCGCTAGCACCCAGCCGTCAATCTCGCAAATCCCTCTTTATTAGAAGTTAGAACCCCTATAGCTTTCATCTATCTGGGGAAAAAAATATATACAAAATGGTTGATGTTTCTTTGTTGAACATAAGAAAACCAACTTCAAACCGAGGGTTGAGTAAGACAACCCATGCAGCTTACACCTCGGAACCGATCTCAGGGCCCTGCAGCAGGTAGGGTCGCAGGAGTGAGCACCTGACCCCGCGAGTCCAGTCTGACAGTCCGAAGGTGCGGGGGTTGCTTCATACTGTGGATGGACAAAATCCTGCACCACCTACTAAACCATGAAAAACCATGGTTTCTTGGTATTTACGGGGGGAATCATCATCTCGGGTTTCTTAGGTGGTGACGTGCCTCCAGGTGGGTGATTTACTTTTGGTCTCCTTTTAAAACCATTTGGAGACAGACCCATTTATTGCTGAGATGCTACCGCTGTCAGGCCTGCACATGCCATGCTGCTACTTAACGCAAGCACAGCCGGGTGTTCGACATGAGCTACTACAAAATGAGTCGCCGGCACATGGAGATCCGGTTGTACAAGACCAAGCCGTCCTGACATCACATGCCGCTCGTTCGCTTCTTCCCGATTGGGGGATTCACCCTTGTTAAGCCCCTTCGTTGGTGATTCTAAAGGGAAACCAAAAGGAGAACCATCATTTTTTGTGGGGGTCCCTAAGAAAGAGACCCACCCATTTTTATCAAACTCCTTTGTGCCAATCTTTGGTGGCCAGGGCCTGTCAAGCAAAGCGCAAACCCTTCCGCACCTCTTTGTGATGCCCAAAGGAATTGTAACCTCGGCACGGTGTGGCCCCGACCTGCAGACCGTATGTGGGTGTGTGTGTGTGTGGGTGAATGACATGTGAAGAAGAAACCAAATTGCCATCCGCTACCAATCCTGCTCAAAACCCGTCCCCAAGAACAAGTCTTGCAAGAATTCTGCTGGCAGGTTGCCTTTCATGCCAAGCACCATATCATATCAAGCCACAGATTTCCCGAACTGCCCAAAAACGCTTGCCCAGTTCAAAGGAAAGGCAGTGATGTTCCAACACTTCCGTTTCTTTCAAGGGACCTTGGAACATTGCACCACTTTTCATTCTCAAACATGGGTCGGTCCTCCCTACCTGTGCCCCAAGCACCTGTTGTAGAAATCCAAGGAACCACTGGAAAGGCCTAGTGGTTGGGCAATCAGGGGAACGGGAGGAAGCCCGTCCCGCGAGCATGCAAAAAAGGTGCGGAGGTTGATTCCCTATCAGGAATGCGCAAAGGTGGAAACAACACGGTCAGTCCTAACAATCACTAAACCATCCAATTGCGCGATTTGTCCCGCCAAAGCAAACAAGGCAGCGTTGCATCGGAAAAGCTTACAGTTTTCTGTTGGCAACCCAACCACCAACCGCCCACCCACCCGTTTTTGGCGGCCGTCCACCCTTGCCCTGTGAGTTTGTTGCAGCCTTTTCCGCCCTAAACTTGACTCGGAGCGTGGGGAAACTCCCTGGGCCCCCCGGCGCCAGGCGGAGACGAGGCGCTGGAAGCCCTTTGCGTCCAGCGTCCGGATCTTCGAGCTCCTGACAAAGCTCTGCACTGGGCCCTTCCCTTAAAAATTGGTGGCTTGGATTGGTTTGATCAAGGGTTCTTTTTCCCATCCAGCAAACCAGCAATCCAAACCACCAATTGGGAAGCTGATTCAAGAACCGCGAGCAGGAGCTCAGGAAAGCAGATGTCATGGCAATGTGTCAAGAGCCACTGCCAAATCACATGTTTCTCCAAGCGGAAATGGACAACTAGTGAGGCCCCTGGCTATTGTGGAACATGAAGTGGCTTCCCCGTGTCGCTCCCATATGAACCAGAGACAATCTGAAAATTCGACTAAACCTCATACAGGGTGTTTCTCAAGATCAAGGGGAAACCAAAAGGAAAGCAGCTGCATGAGAGCTCCCATGCAAGTATGCAAGTAGGGAACTAGCGGACCTCGCAATCTACAATCCATGCAAGAGGCGCCCTGGCTTTCGCTGAGTGCCCATTCAATGGTGAAATCTCCAAAAGGAATTGGCAAGCATCTCATGATGGAATCAAGCGCATACCACGAAAACGGGTATGATTCCAAAAAGAGAGTGCAGTCTCCGAAGGGCTCCAACTTCCATGAAATTGAGCAGCTTCCCTTAGCCCCTTCAAACCAAAACTTAGGGAAGGGACCCCCATCCTCTTTATCATCGTGTTTCAGGCGACGTCCGGAGATCAACATCCGAAACCCCCGAATCTGGGCAGCGCCACTGGCCATCCAGAGGAGCATCCTGGCAGATCCCAAGTTGATCTTTCTGAAAGGGCTCGCTTCTTGGATGGTCTCTTCTATGGCCATGAATTCAAGTTGGGCTTCCCACCTCACTTTTGTTCTTGGTGGCCACGAATCCCTCCGAATGTTGATGTCCACCAGACAGCCCCAAAAGGAATCCAAGGCCCGGAGAAATCTGTGGTCAAAGAGGTTCACCCCCAAAAGCCAGGGATCCAAGCAGACGTCGATTTCTTCATATGCCACCTGTCAGACCCGCATCGTTTCAACTCGATTGGACCAAACCACGGCATCTAGTGATGCAGCCCGCGAGCTCGGATTACAAATTCCAGGTGGGTTCTCGGCATAGGGACCCCTGAAACGGTTGCAGTTGTCAGAAACCCTGAAGCCGCCCCGAAAAATCACAGGAACCTTTTTGACAAGTGCGCTCTCATGTGAGAATGATGGTACTTTGCGACATATGCGAACGTTGCCATGCTGGACATCTGGCTCTGTCCGCGAAACGGAAGCTGAAAGCCAACCGGAAGCAGCCAATAGCCACGCGACTATGCTGAAATTTGGCACGAAAGCCCTCAAGCTTTGAAGGTGGCCCTGACTCGCCCAATCTCCACAAATGGTTGGGCGTGAATCAAAAAAAAGTAGTCAAAGCCCTCAGTTCTTGAAGGTCGGCTCGTCCGATCCCCGCAAAAGGCCGCAGGAACCGCGGAAAGCAGTACAAGCTCTCAGCCTTTAAAGGTCGACACGCCGAATCCGCAAAATCACTTTAGCGGGGATTCCCAATTGTCAAAAGGTTTTGTTTAAGCCTGAAAGGGAAATGCAGGTATTCCACAAGGCGACGTAGAAGGCTTCAACAGTGGAAGTATGCGCCCTGGGACAAATACGACAAACTCAGCGTGACAAACTCAGCCTGATCCCGGCCTGAAGCGCCTTCAGGATCCGAGTCACATCCTCGTTGGGCTCCTGCATTTCCGGGATTGTTGGGAGGTAAGAATGGGGTGTTTCCTTTTGGTTGCCATTATACCGGTTCGCGACGTGAGCCCCAACCAAGAGAGGGTGCCCACTCATCACAATGGTCCAGCCATGGATTATCCGGGCAAAAAAACGCCTTGAGTAACGAAGTGTTGCAGGGAACCCAAAGGTTTGGAGAGGCTCCAGATCCTGATGCGTCAGGGGTTGCCGGTTCCGGCCTGCCATCTTCGACGTCCATCTTGTCTCTCTCTCTCTCTCTCTATCCTCCAGCAAGAAGACTTCTTGACCACGTTAAGACCAACAGGGTCATGACAAGCGCGGGAACCAAATTTTCGCACTTTGGACTGTCAACCCCTTCAAAAATGTGTAGCAAAAGCAAGAACCAGGCAAGGCTCCTCATCTGGCTCAGGGACGTATTTGTCCCTGATGATGTCAATGTCAGCTTTCTCCTGTGCCAGCCACGTTTGGTCACGCAGAGTGCCACCCGAGCAAGACACTCTGTCCATGGGATTAGGTCTCCTGCAAAAGAAGCCATTCTTAGCTGGTTGTCTGTTTGTTTGCCGCCTGCACAGGCTTAAGATAGAGGATTTGTACACCTTTGCGGGCCATCGTTCATAGGAGAAGGAGAGATGAGCTGCGACCAAAACCCAACGTTAGTTGAGTGTACGCGAAGCCATGAACTGCAAGGGGGAGGAATTCCGCAGTTATACTACATATTTCCGCAGCTATTTCTGGCTACCAAATCTATCTCACTGCGTTTTGATTCTGTCCTGACAGGGAACTGCTGATAAACAGCCAATGTGCGAAAGGCAACAGGAACGAGATGGCCTCAACAAATAAGCAGCAACAACACACTTCGCGAGCGGCGTGGGCCCAATAACCTCAGAACTTTTGGGCTTACTATGTTTACTCCAAAAAACACCTCCCAAAATACCCCAGGCCCCAAGCTCCTGGGGCCAAGATAAGCTCAGGTGATATCCCCAGCACGCGGTGCTCTTTTTGGTGCTCGCAGAGGGATTCCGCCCCGTCTGGAAGTTGTGGAGGCCTGATTGGGGCCAGACGGTGCCATTGATGCCCGATGGCCCGGGGAGCAAACCAGCAATCCAAGCCACCAATCATAGCCACCGCCGGTTGTGCTTTGTCGCTTTAGGTGTTACGTCGTGGAATTCTTGTGGAACCCGGATGGAACCTCGATGGAACCTCGATGGAACCTCGATGGAACCTCGATGGAACCCTTGCGGAACGCTTGTGGAACCCTACCTCAGGGCTGCCCTAGGCCATCCCGGAACCTCGTGGAACCGTGGAACCTTTGTGGACCCTTGTGGAACCTGTGTAAGCTTAATTCAGGCCCTCATGGAACCTTACCTCAGGGCCTCCCCGGACCACCCCGGAGCCTATCTGGGCTGAGACCCCAAAGCTTTCAGCTGGAGAAAAAAAAGACTCGACCCCCGCAACGCAACTGGGACCCCTCCCCTGGAGACAAAAAAGAATGCCAACTTGCTTGCTCCAGCGTGAGCACGGACACGAGGGCCGCAAAGTGGAAGGTCACGGTGCCCAGGTTCAGCGGCGCCGCCTGCGGAAATCCGATGGATCCGTACTGAAGGGAATGGGCCAACAGGACAGGAGCAGGGGGACGTTTCCAGAGCTACCGCGTGTTTGGAACATGCGACCGACATGGTTTTAACGTTCTCATTTAGGTTGAGCTCTACAGGAGTCTATGGTCTGGTTGAAGGAAGATATTTCGCCCCACCCCTGCTTTGCAGTGGTTTGCCGGGGGAAAAGGAAACCCAGAAACCCCCGTGGACGAAAACAAGCCTTCTGAGCTCTGGACCTCTCCAACGTGCTCCACGCCCATTGGTGTTAAACAAACTTCAAGTGGGTTTCCCCCAGATTTCTCTTCGAAACCCAAGGGTGGCCTATCAGGTTTGTCTCAACGGTTGCTTCGGCCACCATCCGGAAAACGTCCTGAACAAGGTGCTCACAACGATCTCGTTTTCAAAGCGGGGCCCGGGTCTGGCTACCCTGTCATTGGGCTTTTTGGTTTCGCATTGCTGGGAGGAGCTCAAATTCGTGTTACCCATTTTATGGTTGGCGTTGAGGGGAACACCAATCCATTTGGTCAGTTGATTGACACGTCCATTTCGGCTGCGTTTCTCAAATGCATCAACCCGGCTCTCCTTGTGCTTCACTTTCCACTCCCAAAAGATGTTCCCTAAGCGAAACACAACAAGTCTGGGGTCACTTTCCTTTTGGCGCGTCCATTACCAAAGGCTCCAAACGCATGCTGCTTCTCAGTTTTGTGGGCCGGGCCTCATGAAGCTTCTGGAGGCACTGCCACAGCAGCGGCGCAACGGCTGGCGGCGGTGTGGGTGGAAGTGAGCTTTGTCCTTCCCGTGTGTGGGGGGGGCGTGTCACGGGCGCAGGTGTCCTTTTGGAAAATCGATGACTTTGGAGCATGAAACCAGGTCAATCAGGGCCAAATCACCAAAAAGGAGGCGGTCAAGGTTGAACTTGCGGATGCAAGTTGAGAAGTGAAACGCTTTGGGATAAAGTGAGGATCCGGATCCGATATGGGACACCTTCATTCACAGCCTGGCTTCCTGAAGGGCAAGGGGCAAAGGGGTCAATCAACCAGAAACAACTCTAACACGACCAAGAACCCCTTCCAAGAAGTCCCTCCGCACCTTCTTCTGCGTTGGCTTCCTCCCTGCGATACGAGTGGTTCCCAACATGTGGGAAGATATCGGGACATCTCTTTTCTGGTTAAACGAGGACTTCTTCCGTTTGGGCGACAAAAGCCACCTCCTCCGCCCCGGAAAAAAATTACTTCGCTTCGAGCAATCCCCACCCTCCACACTCACGAGCTTACGACCGTTACAACAAATTCCTCTGCATCCTAGAGACTTCGACTCCAAATTCCCATCGTCCCCTTCCCTTCCCATCGGCCACTTCCACTTGTCTGCGAGCCGATCTCAAGAACTCAAACATCGGTTCCGTTAACAAAAGCCAAGCCCCTTCCAAAAAGAAACCCGACGGGGGATTAAACGAAGTTGCTTATTCACAACCCAAAGCAACACAACAGCATCACCCTTTCCGAGCCTCAGGGTGCACTCAAAACACGAAGGCACCAACATGAATGTAAACCCAACTGTGCGTCGGGCGGGACATTAAGCAAAACCAGACTGGCGAGCTGCTCTAGCGGGATACTGGCGGGATCCACTGGCGAATACTGGCGAGCCGCTTGGCAGGATCCACCGGCAAGGGTGGGATCCACTGGTGAGCTACGCTGGGATACTCAGCGGGATACTCGGCGGGATCCACTGGCTGGCGGGATACTTGGCGGGATCCACTGGCGAGCCGCTCTGGCGGGATACTCGGCGGGATCCACTGGCGGAATTGTTTGGCGGGATACTGGTCCACTGCCGGACTCCTCTGGCGGGATACTGGACGGGATCCACTGGCGGAATTGTTCGGACTCCTCTGGCGGGATACTGGACGGGATCCACTGGCAGAATTGTTTGGCGGGATACTGGGCGGCATCCACTGGCGGACTCCTCTGGCGGGATACTGGGCGGGATCCACTGGCGGACCACTCTGGCGGGATACGGGTCCACTGCCGGACTCCTCTGGCGGGATACTGGACGGGATCCACTGGCAGAATTGTTTGGCGGGATACTGGGCGGGATCCACTGGCGGACTCCTCTGGCGGGATACTGGGCGGGATCCACTGGGGACCACTCTGGTGGGATACGGGATCCACTGGCGGACCACTCTGGCGGGATACTGGGCGGGATGCGCTGGCGGACCACTCTGGCGGGATACTGGGCGGGATCCACTGGCATCCTCTCACTGCATCCTTTCTGGCGGGATACTGGGCGGGATCCACTGGCATCCTCTCTGGCGGGATACTGGGCGGGATCCACTGGCATCCTCTCTGGCGGGATACTGGGCGGGATCCACTGGCATCCTCTCCGGCGGGATACTGGGCGGGATCCACTGGCATCCTCTCTGGCGGGATACTGGGCGGGATCCACTGGCATCTTCTCTGGCGGGATACTGGGCGGGATCCACTGGCATCCTCTCTGGCGGGATACTGGGCGGGATCCACTGGCGGGATACTGGGCGGGATGCACTGGCATCCTCTCTGGCGGGATCCTCTCTGGCGGGATCCTCTCTGGCAGGAGGGTGTGGTGTAGCAGCATCGCAAGCGTGGATTCTACTTCAAATCTAACAACCCCTTCCTGTCGGGTGGGGAAAAAACCTTCGCCCCCCAGCGCGCCTGGCAGGGCCACCAAGAGGGGTCGCTCCACAAAGACCACGGAGCCTGCCTCGCAGGCCTGGCCAACTGGCTTTGCGGCTTCGTGCGATAACGACGAGGAGGGCGTTCCCAATGGAAAACTTCTGCGAAAAGGAGGGTGTATCATTAACGAAAGGGAGGGTCAAAGAAAAAAGATCTGGGAATTGATGGCTTTTGGTCTCCAATCCATCTTTGAACCCCCCAATGGCTCAAGAGAGCTTGCCGCGCGATGCAGCGATGTGAAAAGGTTCGATTGGAAACTAGTTTGTTTGGGCTTTCCAGATATAAAAGTGTCCTGAAAGAACCACTTTTATTCCGAATGGTGGGGTACATGTCAGAAACAGTCACAGAACCACCTTGACATCAACATACAGCTGAGGGGCCTGTAAGAGCAACTTCTGTCAGCCTTTCAAGGTAGAGTACGTCCGATCCCCTTCTGGGAAAAATGCATTCAGACTGGTTCCAGAGGTTGCGGTTCAGGCACCGCAAGACTAAGCGACCCTCCCAAAGGGTTCCGAAGAAATCTTCAAAGAGCCACTCGGTGTCCGCAATCCATCGAACGGGGATTGTCTCCACATGTTGGGACCCGAAAATGGTGTGTCCCTTTTGGTTTGCCTTTCAATCCAACCAAATCAGGATCCCCCTCCCCCCCAAAAAAAATATGCAAAAGAAAAAGGACTTGTGGTGTGGTCGTGTTTGGATTCTTGCTGCATGACAAACCATCGACCATGCTGACCCTTTAGCATTTAAGGTTGCCTTTCCCTCACGATAGTGGTTATTGTGTTGAAGGTACCTTTCCACCCCTTGCTGCCACGGAACGGGAGTTAGGGTACCCTTTTCAGGATTGTTTGAAGCAAAAAATAAAGTGGCACCAAAACCCATAGGACGGACAGACAGACAGACAAACATATCGACCGACTGACCGACCGACCCGAGGAAGGCAGGCAGGCAGGCAGGCACATAGGCAGGCGGATAGGCAGGCGGATAGGCGGATACAGGCAGGCAGGCAGGCAGGCAGGCAGGCAGGCAGGCAGGCAGGCAGGCAGGCAGGCAGGCAGGCAGGCAGGCAGGCAGGCAGGCAGGCAGGCAGGCAGGCAGGCAGGCAGGCAGGCAGGCAGGCAGGCAGGCAGGCAGGCAGGCAGGCAGGCAGGCAGGCAGGCAGGCAGGCAGGCAGGCAGGCAGGCAGGCAGGCAGGCAGGCAGGCAGGCAGGCAGGCAGGCAGGCAGGCAGGCAGGCAGGCAGGCAGGCAGGCAGGCAGGCAGGCAGGCAGGCAGGCAGGCAGGCAGGCAGGCAGGCAGGCAGGCAGGCAGGCAGGCAGGCAGGCAGGCAGGCAGGCAGGCAGGCAGGCAGGCAGGCAGGCAGGCAGGCAGGCAGGCAGGCAGGCAGGCAGGCAGGCAGGCAGGCAGGCAGGCAGGCAGGCAGGCAGGCAGGCAGGCAGGCAGGCAGGCAGGCAGGCAGGCAGGCAGGCAGGCAGGCAGGCAGGCAGGCAGGCAGGCAGGCAGGCAGGCAGGCAGGCAGGCAGGCAAACACACACGCACACGCACACGCACACGCACACGCACCCCCACACGCACATGCACATGCACACGCACACGCAGGCACGGCAGGCACGGCAGGCACGCAGGCACGCAGGCACGCAGGCACGCAGGCACGCAGGCACGCAGGCACGCAGGCACGCAGGCACGCAGGCACGCAGGCACGCAGGCACGCAGGCACGCAGGCACGCAGGCACGCAGGCACGCAGGCACGCAGGCACAGGCAGGCACGCAGGCACGCAGGCACGCAGGCACGCAGGCACGCAGGCACGCAGGCACGCAGGCACGCAGGCACGCAGGCACGCAGGCACGCAGGCACGCAGGCACGCAGGCACGCAGGCACGCAGGCACGGTACGCAGCAGGAACGAAGGCAGGCAGCCAGGCGGGCAGGCGGGCAGGCAGGCACGCAGGCACGAAGGAGGCAGGCGAGACACACACACACACACACACACACACACACATGGGTTTGTCTCAAAATAGGGGACCTCCAAAATAGGGGACCTCCAAAATAAGTGGTTTTCCTTTGAACCCACCCCACAAGGGGTATCTCAAAAACAGACGCACATGGAAATTTCACTGAACCAATCTTGATTTTGTCTCTTGAAACCTTCCCCTAGCTTCCATCCAAAAGGACAGAGTGCATTGCCTTCCAACAAAAGTCTACTAGAAACCAAAGCTTACTCTGCCGTGAAGCCTTAATGATACCCCGCGACATCTGCAATACCAGAGCAAGGAGAAGCCACACCCACGCTTTCGCAAGGCCTGCCCTACCTGCCAGCCATTCCAAAATACGTCGCGCCAAAAACTCAGCCCTTCCGAATCCCTGAGCCTCGTTTGTGAAGAGACATCTCCCCTTGTTCTTTGTCTCCGCCACAGTCGCTCGCTTCTCTATCCTGCCAGAATTCAACAACTCCATTGCCAACGGTCTATTTCGGAACAACGCCCGTGCGGTTTTTCGAGGTGGGGTACCCCTTTTTGAGGTTGGCTTAGAGAGAACCATTGGAGAGGTCCGATCAGTCGAAACCCACAACAAGACAGGACATGTGGCACCCGGCCGGCCGCCTCCAGCAACCCCAAAAACCGACGTTTACAACACAAAGAAGACAACATCACGAAGCAATCTCCGTGCGGTTATATTTGCCTAGCTTGCCTTGTAAAGAATATGGGCGCAAAATAGTCTCCCTGTGTTGACGCTCATCCAAATATTCTCAGTGAAAGAACAAAAGGTGGCGCAGGCATCTCCATCCCTTTGGTCAGTAGGCTACCTGATGACGGGGAAACACACATGTTCCCGACGGCCACTGAAAGGTGCAGCCAACCTGCAGTCATGCTGGTTGGTGTGGGTGTTTCCAGGGATTCTTGATCAAAGTAGTCACATTGGGACATCACAAAACCCACGAGACGGCTCCCCACATCGATCAAGGATTCGGGGTAACTCAACCCCGCGATCAAGGGGTGGCTGCCTTCCTTGCTGATCTTCTTGTGAGAACCTGTCAAGACTGGGGGCCCCGTCCACTTCGTCGGCTGTACGTTCGTCTGAAGTCCATCCACGAAGGGTTCAACTTTGCTTGGCACGCAGGCATGTTGATTTCCTGTAACAATGTGCCCAAATAATTTGGCCTTCCGATCCGCAGATCTTCTTGAGCCGTTCGGTCGAACTGACCCAAAGAGTCCTGGCTCTGCTCCAGGCCGTCGTCTCGTCAGAGGGACGCATGACCTGGCCGCATGAAGGCTGAACATGCGGGCTCGCATTTTTCCCCCTGAAGCACCACCCCAATTGGGCCAGAAGGCGCTGCCCAAAGCAGCAAAACAGAAAGTTCATCCGGAGACGTCTGGACCTCAAGAAGCAGATACCGGTTCGAAAAGCAAGTGCCGCAGCCCCATGGGCATCCGAGCTTCAGATTCTGAGGGACGAAATCCAGTTCGCACCACTTTGAAACCATGGTTGAAGCCATAACATTGGTTGGTATTTACAGTGAAATCGAATCCTTCCAGGGTTTCTTACGTGGTGAAATCGGAGTTCGTCCATCCACAGTATCACAACATGGGTACCCTGTTTCAAGGGTTTTGAAGGAGCGCAGCTGGGAGCGGCCTATCTCACATGTCCATGGCCAAAAGCCCAAGATGCTGATTCCCCAAGAAGACGAAGCAAGACGAAGCCAACAAGCTGGACTAGCTGGGTACGGTTTTGGATCGCAATTTCGTGCGGCTCAGCTGATCCTGCAGTCCAAGCTGTGACCCCCAAATGACACATCAGGTTCCTGGGAATGCGGACGCGTGTCAAACCATGGTTTGTCTCTGTGTGCGTGCGTGTCTCACCCATGTCCAACTGCCATATCACGCATGGACACCGTAATATGAAATTTGTTGCGGTCAACCTGAAAACAAAGGCCCAACCAATGCCGCACGCAAATTAAACAAACAAGACAAGCAAACAAACAGACGGGCAGACACAACACAACAAAACAAAACAAGAGAGAACTAAACAAACCAAGTATCCAAGGCAGGGCAAGGCCGGGAAGGGCAGAAGGCTACGTGCGCCAAAGGGTGCATGGATTCATATGAGGGCTCCAGAGATTCCAACCAGACCCAAGCATGAAACGATGGCCAGTTCACAAACATTGAGCCCGACAGGAGCGTAGTTTGATGACCAGGTCAAAGCATTTCCTTGAAAAAAACTACGGATTGATTGGAACATGTCTTAATCGCGACTAGCACCTAGCAATGGATTTCAGCGTTCCATCATGTTCAAAGAACATGATTTCCATCGCTTTGACAAGGAAAGCAACTACTAGATTGCTCTGGGCTAGTAAGGATGCTCACCAAAACATGCCAGGAATTGATGCAGCATCGCGTTGCGCGAAGACTCGATTGGTTCACCAACCACAACTCTATGTAATACCCAATCATAAAACCTGAGTTCCTGTCCCATGGAGAGTCAGGGTTCCTGAAGGATGCCCGCCCTCTGAGTCTTCCCCATGTCGGGTACCTCCTTTTCGGGGTAGTTTCAAAGGGAAACCAAACGGACAACAACCATTTGTTGGGAACCCCCCCCAAAAAAAAAAAAACAAAACATTTGCGGGTACAAAGAAACCATGTACAAACGGGAGCCCACCTTTTCCCAGGGTGGGGATCAATGCGGCGCGTTGCCACCGAGGGAAACAAAACCACGGGAGCACCCCCAGCGAGTCGTTGTTTGCTTTGTTTTTGCTTCGAGCCCCCAGCGAGTCGAGTCGTGGTTTGCTTTGTTTTTGCTTCCGTTGGGAAATGGACATCAAACGTGAAAGATAATCTGAATGATTTCGTAAGAGCATCCAAACACGAAAGATAATCTATGACCCCGCATGGCTATGAATCATGTTGCTTGGGGAAAACCCGAAAAACAAAATGGTTGGACATAATCTCCGTGCATTTGTGATGCCCACAGAAGGCTGCCTGCAACTACACCAATGGCTTTGCATCTCGCCAAGCTTTGGACAAACGACGTCCGGCATTCTGCCATGCGGATGCCAACGTCATAAAGCAAGGGAGGCAAGCGCACACAACCACGAAAGCGCCAAAGGATATTTTGCCGTAAGACACTGGGTGTCCGTTGTTTCACCTGTTCCCTACTTGTTCCGTACAAGTGCCATACTTGTTCCCTACTTGTACCATACTTGTTCCCTACGTATGCCCTAAATGTTCCCTACCTGTTCCCTTCTTCTTTCCTGCTTGTTCCCTACTTGCTTCCTACGTGTTCCCTGCCTGTTCCCTACTTGTTCCATGCTTGCGACCTACTTGCTGCCATTGCTTCCTACTTCTTCCCTGCTTCTTGATCTTCCCTGTTTCCTATATGTTCCCTGCATGTTCCCTACATGCTCCCTACATGTTCCCTAAGAGTTCTCTGCATGTTCCCTACATGTTCCCTACATGTTCCCTACAGGTTCCCTGCATGTTCCCTACGTGACCCTACTTGTTCCCTACACGTTCCCTACTTGTGCCTACTTGTTCGCAAGCGTTCGAGGAAAGGGGTTGTCTCAAAATAGGATACAAGCAACTGAGGAGTGTTCCCTTGATTTCCCGTCTTTAAGGGTCAAGCAAGACTACCCCAAGACCCCAAAATGAAAAGTTGTCCTTTTGGGTTCCCCTTCAGGCACCAACAAAAAGGGGTACCAGACACGAGCCACCCGTGTGCATTTCTGCATCCACAACTGACGCTCGGATCGATTGGATCGATATCGTCTCCCCTACCAGCCTGTGAGAAGGGCACTTTCCGGTGCGACGTGTCCGCCTACAAGCAGAGACAAGCACATGTGTGGCGTGTCTTTCTTCGAGTGGTGACAGTTTGCATGTGTACGTTTGCCGCAAGGAGATCTTGCAAAGGGGAACTAAAGGGAAAAACACCATTTTTGGGGTCCCTTACTTGAGACAAACCCGTGCGTCTCCTGTTAACCCCTTTGAAGGTTATTTCAAAGGGAAGCCAATGGGCAAGCCACTACTACTTGGAGACAAACCCATTTGTGCATGCATGAAATTCTGCTAACCTGCCAAGGGACGGTTTTTGAGGGTACCCTTTTTGGGGCTGACTGTAAAGGGAAACCACAGGCAAAAAAAACAAACGTCGGGCTCCCGGGCGTCATCCCAGGTGACCAGCACCGACTTCTCGGTCTCGTTGACCTGATGAGATCCCGACGGGTGAGCGTGGGTGTCTTGTGATAAAACGGGTTCAGGTTCAGAGGTGTCTTTCTGTGTCGGTACCCTTCTCTTTCTGTGCGGTTTAAGAGGGAAACCGAAAGGAAACTACCTACCAGTCCCCAATTTTTTGAGAAACGGATGAGGCCGGTGCTCAAGCACAAGTGCACACATGGTGGGCTCAAAGCACTCTATGCGCAAAACACTGGATAATGAAGATGAGTTGAGTTCGGAAGTGTTTGGTTACAGAAAAACTGGGGAAGCATGTTTTTCAAACACCGCATGGAAGCTGTACCAGACTGTAGTTGCCCTTTCCAACCACCACAACAAACGTTTGGTTTCCCGAGCATCAAAAGAAGACAGACAGACCCATTTGTCCATAAACCATATGTGCACATGGTCTTTTCTGAGTGGGTCCCTTTTAACAGGAAACAAAAAGAACACCCCCCAATTTTGAGACAAACCCATAGCCCGCTCTCATGATCAGAACCCTGACATCTGGCCGTTTCGTGTCCTAAGGACCTCAACGGAGCTAGTTTTTCCCAGCTTGTGAAGCTCAGTGGCCTCGGCGATGGTAGACACCTGAGACGGAAGCCAGGCACCCGGTGCAGCTTTGGCGACCGAAAAACGAGCTCACTCGTGAGAACGTGCTCCCTGGCGGATTCTGACAAATCAGTATGTTGAGTACATTTGACTGGAATGTTCCAAGATTGTGTGATCATTCCATCTTCTCAAAGACCTCCTGTGTTGGCAAGGAAAGCCATCCCTAAACTGCCGCCGGCACAGACTGTTGGTTCATCTTGATTCATATTCCAGCGACTTGGGAAGCTCGTCTCACCTGAGGTTCTATGGACTCTTGGCAGCGAGCACATGTGCACTCCTTCCAGGAAAACCCTCCTACAAGGTCTTTTGAAGGCTTTGCAATGTCAAATCCTGGCAGAGACCCGGGCTCAAGGCTGCTCTTCAATGTGGCTCTGATGTTCTGATCTAGAGCCAATGTGTAACCATATCCATATTATGTATATATATATAGAAAAATATACACCCGGTGAACGCATGAAAAGCGTGCGTTTTAGGTAAACGAGTTGCCGGGAGCATTGCTTGCCCAAAGGAGATTCGGGGAGATGATCTGACTGCCCGATCAACTGACATAGGCTCCATTCATAAAACCGCAGCACGCCTTCCATGACTTTCGTGGTAGTCGCCTTCTGAAGTGAGCCGAAAAGGGACCTAATTTGGATACTTTGATTCGGAAGTAGTGCCTTTAAAAGTTTGTATTCCAAACCTAGCTTCCTAAACCAAACCAACCTCCTATTGAGCAGTGAGTTGACACAAATCCTGACATCTTGGAGACCTTCATTGCTTTCGAAAAACAAAGGGTTGCATGCCGTGCCGTTGGTTTCACAGGGACAGAATCAACCCGGCAGGTCAAGCTTCATTCGACAGGCAAACAAGTTACCTTGCGAGACTGTCGAGGAGCACCAAAGACGTTGCTGCAGTGTTTATGAAGCTCAAATAGTGTCCTTTTTAAGAAAATCATGGGCTCACAGCAACAAAAAAGAGGAAGCGATGATGGCTCAACTGTGGTTGCAAGAATTATGTTAAGGTCATGCCTGCCATTTGGTTGTCTTTGAGGGCGCCCTGCTGGCTTAAAGGGCAAAGGGAACGCCCCCATTCTGGGAGGTGCTTGAAAAACCAATTTCTATTGGCCACTTTAGTAGAGAGGTGGCCAGCTACTACTTGGTTTCATGAAAATATGCTAAGAGCTGGTCAAACCTGCTGTATAACCATAGAACTGCAAGGTCAACTGTTTTTTGGCGCTCATTGGAAGCACGGCCTGAGTTCGAGGCATAGAAGCTGTTGTTGCCGGCCCAAAGGGCATACACGCGGTCGCCCACTTTCCACCTAAGCGCATTCGTCCATGGCCCCTGTGAAAGGGTGGGCCCGCTGCTTGAGCTTGTTTCCGGAGAATGCTCAATCCCAAGCTCGCAAAACCTCGTGCTCGGCTTCTTTTTCACAACATTCTCAGACGCCCAGCGGCCATGGGCACTAAAGTGGCATCCTTTTTGTGGTTGGTTGACTTTGAAGGGGAATCCTCCCCCAAAATAAAAATAAAAAAAGGGGCGCGCGCACCGCTGGGCAAAGAGTGGAGGCCGCCCATCGGCTTGAGACCGAATCGGCGCTGAGGGCAAGGGCTTCAGCTCGTCTTCCTCTCCGTTGTCACCCTGCGGCCAACCCGGGGCTCGGGGGCTCAAGCTCCGGCAGGGTTTCCCAGCGCTTCGCCCAAGGTAAATGCCGGCGTTGCGTCTTGCCTTTTGGAGTTGATATGCCAACTCGACATAACGACCCAGAACGAATGTACGAACAAGCAAGCAAACAATGCGAATGCAAAGCAAACAAGCAAGCAAGAAAATTAGCTAACTCACCAACTGAGAAGTCAACCCAATGAAACAAAACTCCACACGCGCACGCATTACTACCATGCGGCATGAAAAGACATTCCAGCAAACAGACTCGCTGTTCAGCCTTCACGTCCGGCGTACATTTGAATAAGAGCTCTTGTCCTTTACATTTCCATGCGAGCTCTTGCCCTGTAAGTTTGGTTGCTCGGGTGATCCGTTGAATGGGTGCTTGCAAACAGAACCCGTTTAACAAAGAACCCGTACGACTCTGCGACTGCGGCGAAGCTTTGCCTACCACGACTACACTCGAACCAGATCCAATCTTGAAATGTGATAACTGCCCTGTGGTGTTGTGACAATGATTGTGGCTGGTGCTCTTTTGGGTTTGCCTTGGCCAGATACCACCTACCCATATACCCCCATTCCCGCAGGGATGTGTCGGTTGAAGGCCGGATTCAAAAGGAGGAAATGCAGTATAGTTGTTTGCAAGCAGAATATCCTCCTGGAGCCATAACACACATTCGGGGGGGCTTCCTGCAGGGCGGTGACCTAAAGTAGGGTCTCCTTCAAAAGGTGGGCCCGGGTCCTTTTGGGTTCCTTCGCATCCGAATCCCATATGTTGACCATCTTTTCTCCCCAGCCCCCAGCCCCAAACAGCAATCCCCCCTCCCCCCCCGAACAGGCGGGCCTGGCCTTAGACTCGCTCTGCTCTTTGGTCATCTGATTCTCTCAGCCCGCCTCTCAAGACTCAGCCCATGGGGTCAGTCAACTAAACCCTCGGCAAATCGATCCGACTCAGAGGCCCAACACTTCACCTCAAGGATTTATGAAAAGCCGGGAAACAACCCAACGTCACCATAGATTTCACAGCGGGTATCATGTATTGTTGCCACTCCTCCATTTGCTTTCTTGACTCGTAGAATTAAAGCCCAGCAGGCGAAATGGTGCCTGATTTTCATGCAACACATGCTCTGCTCCCGCCCCCCCCCCCCCCACCACTCTGTTTAACCGTAACGTCTATCAACCTAAAGGTCACTTTCCTAAATTTGTCCTGCTTCTCGGCTTCTGCATTGAAGGAACACAACCCTCAAGTAAGTGGGAGACTTCTTGAAGTGAAAGAGAAGTCCTTTTTCCTGGCGTCGGCATTTCGGAAACTTGGACACCACCCAAAGGGTCTCCCTACCCGGGTTGCCATAAGCTCTTGTTCAAATCGGCTGCCTTGGCGGATCACAACCCTGCACCTGGACGCACGCGCGGCTCTTCCAGGAAGCTAGCCATGTGCGACCATGACCTCGCAAGCCACATGTTCGGCGGAGCATCTGCATATGAGTGTATCTTTTTCGGGCCCCCGCCCCCAAAAAAATGGGTGGTGTGCCTTTTAGTTTCATCCCTTTAAAACCATCAAAATTGGGGTACCTTCAAAAAACGACACACCCGTACAAGGAACTAGCCAACGAGCAAACACGCATGCGCATCGTATTTAGGAGTTCAGTGCAAGTCAGTGCAAAGCTTGCTAAACAAGAATGGGGCGGCCAGCGGGCCAGACATGCTCCAAAACTATGCCGCTATGCCTTAGACACTCATGCAAGCGTCTCACTTAGCATCAAGGACGTAAATTTCAGCCACGAATGCGGCATTCAATTGTACCGCCAAACTGCAAACCCCACAATGCCCAAACATTAAACTACAAATCGCGCAACCCGTCTTGCGGAACGAGATGGGAACGAGATATGTGCCAGTAAGCCCTCTTTCAGCTGTGAAGGAAAATCCGCTCAGGACATGTTTGAAGTAAATCATACCGTGCGCACGGTGACATTTTGCAGACAACTATCCTGCGAGAACTCTGATTCCCAAACGCACGGTGGGTGCGCTGTGGTCTTGTAGGGCAACCATCTCAAGATTTACAGGCTACGGCCTGCTCCCAAGGATCGGACAAAGAGACACCGTCTTTCCTACTGCCCAGGGCTGAAGGGGATTTCAGGCTTCAAAGAGTTGCCCCAAACGGTTGTTTTTGGAATCCTTTTTGCGAAAATGCTACGAAAAATGATAGTTGAGAAAATAATTCGCAGAATCCTGTACATCAATAGACTACACAGAACATATCATCATGTATACATCTACATAAATGTATGCATATGACTATATATATATATATGCATGCGTATATAATTTCCGTGTATATGCATATATATATATATATATATCTACACACATGTAAGCATATGTACTATACATGTGTGTCCACTTGGAAAATGTTTTATCCTCACCCTACAGGTAGGTTGACCACGGAACACACCTATCGATTCGTCCAGCCCGAGGCACAGGCCGGGCTCGGGTTTCCGCCGAGCCGTTCCCCTTTCGGCCGGCGGAAAAGGCGGCGGAGGTGACCTTTTTTGGGGGGACCTTGGCTCCAGCTTTGACTTTGAAAGAAAATCGAAACCGCTACACCCGCAGTTCTGGGGATCCATCTAGAGAGAAACACACATCTTCTGCTTCCTTTGCAGAAACATCCGTTGCACAAAAGGCATTCCGCCGAGGCCGCTGTCCGTGTTTTTCGCGCTCGTATCCTTCTGCCCCTGGCTTGCGCTCAGTCCTCCATCATCTTGGCCTGCACTGCGCTGGGCACTGCGAAATGATTGCACCCCGGTGAACTTCACCGAATCACAAGGATATAAGTGTTGACGTACTTCCCGAGTCTTGGGTGAGGGTCAAAACAGAAAAATCCGAAACCGAGAAAAAGGCAAGGCAAATCTTCGAGATCTGCCATGTTTGCTTGCGACCTAGCGCCTCCCCTGGGAAGTCAAAACAATTCCTGCGATGGCGGGGAGCGCGACAACAACAGTGGCCGCGCCGAGCGGCCAAGAGCATCGATTGCGTTCCTTATATGTGTCTCCTGTAAACATCGCCCACACAAAGAAAGCTTTGTTTTAAACAAACATAATGATTGCATGTGTGCATCAGCAGGTGGCTGATCATATTGTTGATTCCGAACTCTGCCTATTTCAGACATGCCCAACCGTGACTCTTTACCTGTGCCAAAAACCACAGAAGCAACCCCCAAACCAACCCCCCTTCCCCGCCCCCAGCTATCCCTTCCTACATATACATATATATATATATGTATTAAAGAATCGATATATGATATATGGTACATATGCCAGAGCCAAAAACCGCTCTAAGTTGCACCCCCCCAATCCAAACACGAGGAGTCCGTCCTGCGCCGCCGCGATCTTGGCCGCCACCTTCTCCCGGCGCTTCTCCAGGGTGATCTTCTGGCTCCGCGCGTGTTCCGTGCCGTCCGAGGCCTGGGAGCCCCCCGGAAACGGACACGGAAACTCAGCCAGCCCGTCCTGGTCTTCGGGGCTCCAAAAACGTGCAGCCCCCAAAAAGAGAACAGCAAACGCACGGAGAGAGAGGTAGTCCAAGAAAATGTCCAAGATTGAGAGATACAGCCAAGTGAGAGCTGTGAAACCCAACGTTCAAATCTGCGCTCTTCAGGGTGGCCAAGCTCGCCTGATGCCAAGTTGGGCGATCCTTGGCTTCCAGTGGAACGAACTAGCTGAGATGCAGCAGGAATTCTGCGAGCAGCCCTGTATGCATAAGAGTCTTGAGAGATTTAGTTGCACTGGAAAAAAAATCTGTTCTTTCTGGCCGAACCTTGGCTGTATGGGAAGAAGTCCGTTTGTGCGGAAAGGACCTGACATTTGCGGCCAAGTGTGTGGGCTCAAGCCTTGCCTCAGTCACTTCACTTGAAGGATGGGACATGTAAGTCCCAAGTGGTGGAGTCATGCTACAGGCTACCAGGTCCCCAGATGAAAGTGTTGCTTTTGATCCTCAAAGCCAATAGGAAAGTCCAGGGCTGCAAGGTTTTTACCTGCATGAACATCTGAAGGGTCTGGATCTGACGGAAAAAAACAAAGTCGCCTGGACCGGAGATCTGGGATGCTCAATGAATCCTTCGCAGCGAACTCACAAAGCTTCCGCCGGCAAGCTGCCCAGTCCAATCACGCGATGCCACAGCTACCGGCCTTCATCGTATCTCCGTCCTTCTCGTAGGTGATATCCTCACGCAAAAAGAGCTGGGAAAGCAATGTTTGTATGCATATGTGCACGCATCTATGCACGCGTGCATTTGGCCGTGCCTAAATGCCCCCAATCATCCACTGTTAGATAACGTCGCCTTCTTCAACAGGGGATCTCATGCATAAGGCCTCCCTTTCCCCCAAACCTCCCCCCCAACCTCCCCCCCAACCTCCCCCTAACCTCCACCCCGACCTCCCCCCCGCCCCCAACCCTGCGCGACGCCCAGTGACGCCAAATGACTGTGTCTGCAAAATTGCAAACCGTACACAGGCGACTGGTGGCTACCAGCAACTATAGAAAATTCAAGTTCCCCATGTCCCTCCCAAATGAATCATAGACGACTATTTTGCCAGGAATGTTCACCGAGCCTATGCAGCAAAATCCCAGACCCGCATCGGCCATGGCGAAAAAGGGGCACATGGTCATATGGTGGTTTCCAGAAGGGGGGGGTCCCTCTCCAAAAACAAGTTGGAACAAGGGTCCCCACGTTGGAAGATGGACTCAGCGGGAAAAGCCGTGCGAGACTCGGGTCCTTCTTCTCTGCAGGCTCACCGGTGGGGTCCTCGCGGATCTTCTCGTGGGCCTCTGTGTACATGTCCTCCGGATGGCTCTCAGGGAAGGAGTTAGAATGGCCCCTATAAAACCCATCCCCTATGGTTTCCTTTCAGGGAATCCTTAGGTTCATTCCAACACACGGAGCACCAGCAAGTCAAACAGGGGTCACTGGATTTCCCGCACAAGGGTTGCGTTTCCATTGAAACGATCGCCACTTTTGGAGGTTCCACAAAGGGGAAATGGAGGGGACAGTGTCCCAAATTAGCCCGAAAATCCTATGGACGGGGCGACCAACTCCTAGTGACAGGGAGCTTGACCATGGCGCACAGTGCGCCCCCAAACCTTGTTGTTTCTCAGACTTAGCTGTCAAGCGAAACAAAGGGATCAAAACACTGCGCGAAACCATCACCAACGCTACCGGAACCGGCATCGCCGGCAACGGCATGTCTGAGACGACCGATGTCAATGCGTTGCTGTGCTGGCAACACAGCCAAGGCAGCCACCGCGGATTTGCTTTTGGGTGGGAAGGCGCCACCACTGGCAGCGTGCCACCGGCAATCAGCATCCTCAGCATGCACCACACACAGCGGCAGAACGCGGAATCAGACGTTGGCAAACGTTCTCAGCGTCTCCATGCCAGCGGCGCAAGAAGCAACGTGCCTGCATCAACGAGCTGCAAAAAGAGTCTTCCAGGACTTGGAAGTGATGCCAATGATAACGCCATCGCCGCGAGCATCACCGGATATCACCAACAAACCGGACCCCCAGCATCACTGGCATCACCAGCCAGCATCACTTACGACCCGCACACACTCCCCACCCCGCCCCCTTCTCCCAACCCCACTATGTAACCCCAAGGTCCATCGACCGAAAGCTCGCTTTCAGTCATTCGCCATTCCAAAAACCTGAAGAACGGGAGATCCCTGCAACAAGTCCCGGCGCTTTCGCTCGCACCTTTCGTTTGGTCCCCAAATTCGGTCTCACCATCTACCGCCCGTCGGTTCCCGATTGCCTCGCCTCCACCTTGTCAGGCTCGATGCCGGCGGCCAAGTACTTGGCGAAGTGGGCCTCGTACTTGGTGGGGTCCTCCTCCTGCAGCATCTCCATGTACTCCTTCACCTGCCGTTCGGCTCGGCATGTCGCCAAACGTCAAGCAAAAAGCAACCAGAGGAATTTATGGGCGTGTGTGTGTGTGTTTTAGGCACGCCAAAAAACCACTTTTAGCAAGCCAACCCCCTGAAGTACGCCTGTGAATTGCCGTGCTACGAGTTTCCATCAAAAGCATGAGTCCAGGGCCCACAGGAGTTTCACAGCTCTCCATGTCCTTCATATGTCTGGAGACTCTTCCTTCCGTTTCTCCCTGCTAGAGAGGAAACCCGCATCTGGGGATTGACAAGATCACACACTGGAGGGACATCTCAAAAAGCTAAGGCGGATGCTCTGCCCTCGTGTCCAATTTATCTTTGGCAAAATAGCTGGCGCTGCCCCCACGACCCTTGGATTTGTTAACACCAAACTTCATATCATGCCGATGAATGCTCAGTCACCCCGGGGAACAAAGCGCTTCGCGACCTATCACTGGAGGGTTAAAGCGCTCTTGACGTTTCGGCCCAAAACAACTTTGGGCTGGCTGGCTCACATTGCGCCTGTGTTCTTGTGGGAATCCCCTTTGTTTAGACACCACTGCTTACACCAACTGAGTCATGGTCAATCAAAGGAATCTACTCAAACCATGAAGTGTTCAAAGACATTCTTGCAATTTGGGCCAAGTGTCCCCTAATCTTCTACCCAAACTCGGTCGTGTTCGCCTAAAAAACGCCTCTAAGTTGGAGCTCTCGTCTCGTTCGCTCCAAACCCTCAGGGGTTGAAGATCGGTCCGGTTGCTTCTTCTGTGCTACGCAATCAGGGTTCCGTTGTTGGACGCAAGGCAACCGCTGAACCCGTTGAGTCCTTCCAAAAATGGAACCCTGACCCCCCAAAGATGTTTCCCAAAAAAAATCGCTCTTAGATGGCTACCAACTAAAAGGCTGGCTCTATCATTGTGAAAAGCTCCCCTTAGCTTCGAGCCCTGCTGCCCCCCCCCAACCGCCGCCCGAGCCAACCGCGCTGAGCCCCCGCACGTGGCCGCCGAAGATCTTCTCCTTGTGCGCCTCCGCGTCGTACTCGGACTCCCCGCCCTTCTCGTCCGCCGCCTCGCGAGGGGCAAGCCGAGTACGGGGAGTTGCCTCTCCATACATGTGAACGTGTACAGGTCGGTATTGTACATGTGTATAGATATATATATATATATAGCATAAGTATGTACATACAAAAATATGTGCATACGTGTAACACACGTGTATTAAACATATAGATATATATATATATATAGATGTATGTTGTGTCGGTGTGGCCCAATATTTGGAGCCAATTTGGATGGCGCCTACAAGGAACCATTTTCCGGGGATTCCTACTTGTTGGACACTGTTGTATGACTCGAAACACCTGTGAGCGCTCACATTGCCTTCTCCTTTTGCTTCTGCAGAGTAATGTTGACTCATAGGGAGGGCGTCTCCGTCTCCTCCAAAAGTGAAGAATTAAAGAATTCCCAATTAAAGGAGGCTCCCTCCTTGATCAACCAGGGGTCTGCGAATCTTCGGTCCAACACGCGTTGCCTGAAGTGAAACCATGGTTTGCGCAAACCACCTTCTGTGATACCAAAGTGGTTGATTCCCGTGACCACATTCCCACTTCAAACCGGATTGAGCGCCCTTATGGCGCAAAATCATAAGGCAACCCCAACATCTCTGCGTGCAAAAAAGAACAAAGGGAAGAAAAAACACGGCAACCACTGCACACTTCGCATCCACCGGCTCGGCACGGCCGCCTTGAAGCCGGGGAAGTTCTTGGCCTTGTGGGGCACGTGGAGGCCTGACGCGGCTGCATTTTTGAGAGAGATCCCCACAAACGCGCACACACACACACACTTCAATACCCCAAGGGGCGGTTTGGCACATTCGTGTACATCACGCAAGAGAGGAGAGGAGAAACAGGTTCGACTGCTTCATTTCGAGTTGGCTTCAGACAGTAAAATCAACAATGAACGCATCACCAATCGAGCCATTGGCCCTTGCAATTCAACAGCGAAACACACCAGACAATCAGGCTCTTCTGCAGGTACAAGATGCTGCGTCCAGCGTCTCATCCACCCGATTTCCGTAGCTTCGTTGGCACGGCTTGGAAATCAGGCGCCGTGCCCCCTGCATGAGCTGAAAGGTGGTCCCAGGGTGAATCTAGGACTCAGCACGCACACACACACACACACCTCGCAGACAAAAAGAAACGTGGTTGGACATGGACCGAACAAAAAACGAAAGTTTCTTTGGAGAGGCAACACCCTTTTTTGGGGTTGGAAATGGACGGAAAAGTAGGGTTGTGTGACTTTTTTTGTGGGCAACCCTGGTCTTGTTTCATTGTCCGGCGCAATTTAAGGGAAACGGAGGCTGGCAGAAGCGAGGATTCCCGAAGTGCTCTCTGTGGGAATCCCCATGGCTCAGGGTCATGGCCCGCAAAGCACCATGAGTTCGAGCGCTTCTTTCTCACGAAGCTGGTCCCATTGCGAGAGATTGAGCTGGCCGCTGGACCCTGAAGGCTTAATCACCCCTCACGCGTCAGCAGAGGCCCTTTGAGCCTGATTGCCACATCCCAATGGCACCCTCTTCCAGGCTTCCGTTTCTCCTGAAAAAATGCCGCCCGGAAAAGATAACTTCGGTGGACCCAGCCTTTGAACAAAGCCAGCACACAACAGTTGTCTTTGTTTCTGGGAGAGTGTCAACTCCGGATGTCCGCAAAGCAACTGCCTGGTTTGCTTGGTTGATGTTGGAAGGGGAGCCAAAAAAAGTACTTTTAGCAGTTAAGTGGGGATTTCCCACTAAACCACAATAAGCAAAAAGGAAAAAACAAACAACAACCACGTTTTGGAGGGAAAAAACAACGCACTCCGAGATTGGCCCAATCTGCTCCTTGGCTCCCCCCCAAACGGCGAGCCTCCATCCACCGCGCCCTTCAGGGCGCCCCACATGCGGTGGCCCACGCAGGTGCCTTGGGCCGTGGGGTTGTGTTTGTTTGTTTCTTAGTTTATACGCATTAGTTGCCCTCCCGAACCTGCACAGCTTTTAACGTGGTATTTCGGGCGTACTACATACAAGTCAAGCACGTTCAGCAAAGGAGAGAGTAAGCCACACGATTCTGATGCATTTTTGGGATGTGAGAAAGAAGAAAAGCCGGAGGTAACTTGAAGAAGGGAAAGATCGACCATTACAGGGGGGCCGGAAGACCGTGTTCCTTTGCAGCGGACCCTTGTGCATGTCCGTGTTTTATATGTTGCTTTAACATGCGTGGGGTTGTTTTCAAATGGAAACCACAGGGACGCCATTTACTTTGGGGCTGCGTCTTAAAGGACAAGGCGCAAATCCCGGAGAAACCATTCATTGTGGTGTCGTTCTAATGGGTGCCTTCAAAAAAGAACCTAACCTAAGCAGGTCCGTCTTAAAACAAGGGACCCCTTTTTGGACCCAAGGAAAACTAGAAGAAACCACACATGTTCGCGTCCCAAACAAGAACCACGGGAACGCCACAATTTCGTTGTTCCACGGGGAAACCAAAGGCAAGCCATAGTGTTGTCCTTGTTCCCAAAAAACACCAGAAACCGACTATTGTGGCTCAGTTCCAAAGGGAAACCATAGGGGCACCACTCCTTTGCCGTGCTTCAAAAGGGGATACCACAGCAAAAAAGAAAAACAACACAATTGTGCCGCTGCTCCAAAGGGATTCCGGATATATTTTGAGGTCAGGTTAGAGGGCACGCTCCGACAACAAAAAAACCCAAATACGTCTGCACTCAACACAAGGGAGCCCTCTTGGGATATTCTCGGATGCGTCAAAACCAGGGCCACCCCTTTTGAATGCTTTTGGTTGATTTTCCATGGGCCCCTTTCCCCGGAACCCAAAAGCCGTTTTCCCGGGTTCCGGGATCCCCGCCACTCCGCATCTGACCCCATTGACCATAGGTGTCCTTTTAGGGGAAATAAATAGGTTTCCCTCGTAGATGAGCAAAAGCCACCAGGTAAACCAGGAATCGCCCAACCGATTCTTCCACCCAAACCACCAACAAGGACACCTCTGCCATTGACCCGGCTGAAGATCCGAGGCGCGGCGGATGCCCACGTCCAGGATGCACTTGAAGGGCCGCTGCTCGTTCTCCTCGTCCTCCACGTGGTACTCCTCACCGTCAATCTCCTCCTTGCCCTGGCCAAAGGACCAAGCCCTTGCTGAAAGAATTGTGTTTTCTGTTCATTGTTGTTGTGGTTGTGGTTGTGGTTGTTGTTGTCGTTGTCGTTGTGGTTGTGGTTGTGGTCGTTGTCGTTGTCGTTGTCGTTGTCGTCGTCGTCGTCGTCGTTGTGGCTGTTGCTGTTGCTGTTGCTGTTGCTGTTGCTGCTGCTGCTGCTGCTGTTGCTGTTGCTGTTGCTGTTGCTGTTGCTGTTGCTGTTGCTGTTGCTGTTGCTGTTGCTGTTGCTGTTGCTGTTGCTGTTGTTGTTGTTGTTGTTGTGGTTGTGGTTGTGGTTGTGGTTGTGGTTGTGGTTGTCGTTGTCGTTGTGGTTGTGGTTGTGGTCGTGGTCGTTGTCGTTGTCGTTGTCGTTGTCGTCGTCGTCGTCGTCGTCGTCGTTGTTGTTGTCGTCGTCGTTGCCGTTGGTGTTGCCGTTGGTGTTGATGTTGTTGTTGTGGTTGTGGTTGTGGTTGTGGTTGTGGTTGTCGTTGTGGTTGTGGTTGTTGTTGTTGTTGTTGTTGTTGTTGTTGTTGTGGTTGTGTTGTTGTTGTTGTTGTTGTTGTTGTTGTTGTTGTTGTTGTTGTTGTTGTTGTTGTTGTTGTTGTTGTTGTTGTTGCTGTTGCTGTTGCTGTTGCTGTTGCTGTTGTTGTTGCTGTTGCTGTTGCTGTTGCTGTTGCTGTTGCTGTTGCTGTAGCTGTTGCTGTTGCTGTTGCTGTT